CAAAAGTAAGCAGGATTTGTTATGTCAGATAAAATAGACTTAAGTAAAAAATTTGTAAAAAGAGAACTGGACCCATAGCATCATGGTTAAAGAACTCAGGTCTCACATGACTGACTGGTTTAAATCTTGACCCTACTGGCTTGACAAACATTCCAACCTTGTGTGCCCCAAATTGTGATAGGCTGTCAAAATGGAGTGATCATGCCCCATTGGGGAAGGTGTGCTCTTTCTGATGAACACACACCACCCTACTGTCTTGTAGAAATGAAGTCATATGATGATACAAGAATCAACTTTTCAAGATGACTTAATGATGGTAATTACATCTACATGCAAATATATAAAGTATATATTACGGGATCCAAAGGGGAAAGATAAACACCCCATTCCCAGGACTGGAGAGATCATCTAGATAGGAAATCCTTGATAAAGTCTGAATTGGGCTAGCTCATAGCATGGTGTTTAAGGCAGCTGGATTCTATATGGCCAACCATATGGTTAGAGCCTCAGACACAGTGGCCCAAGAAACATGCTAGCATGTGTGTATACATGCCCAAAAGGAAGGAGAGATGGAGAATTGCAGAGTGATCTTTCCCGCATGTGGAGTGCCTATTTTTCCTGTCTCCTACAAATGCATTGTGCAGTCTAGCTAAATAGAGAATTAAGAATCTGAATTAAACCAAATGGACTTAATTTGGCATTTATAAAGCATTTCATTCAGCAGATGCAGGATACATGTTCATCAGCACTCTGGAGTATTCTCCAGGATAGCTATATGTAAGGCTACAAAATAAGCCTCAACAAAAATTTTTAAATCTTTATCAAGTACCTTTTCTGAAACAGTGGATTGAAATAGAAAGTAGAAAGAGGGACTTAGGAAACTGTAATGATAATATGGGATTAAATATGGTCTTGAACCACTGGGCCAATGAAGGGCTTAAGTAGGAAATTTAAATATTTCTCAAAATAAGTGAAAATGAGAACACAACAACTTATGGGATACAGCAAACACCATGCTAAGAAGGACATTTATAGCAATAAACGCTTTTATTTAAAAAGTAGAAAGGTTTCATATAACCTAACAATGCACCTCAAGGAGCTAGCAAATGAAGCACATACCAAACTTAGAACCAAAGGAAGAGTTAAGGATGACAGCAGAAGTAAATGAACAAATACGAAAGATCTCTCAGTATTTTTTTTCCTTTTAAAATTTTGCCAAGTGGTGTGTGCATGTGATAATAGGTGGGAGAAAATCAAAGCCTCCCCCATGAGGCATGGTCATGCCCCAGCAGTCTTCTCTCCATTTTTCTTTCTGGGCATGTTTCACAAGCTGCAGGGTCAGCTATGTGGGATTCAGCTTCCTTAACCACTAGGCCAGGGGCTGATCCAAAAAGATCTATTGAAACAAAAAATTGATTTTTTTACCTTGGCAAAGAACAGAAACTGAAAGATTGGAAGATAACATAGCAGGGAGGGCAACTGTAGATACTAGAGATAGTACACAGGGTGTTGGATAAAAGGGGGGTGGGTAATAGGGAAGGAGAGGAACAGGGAAAAACCAGTTAATTGATACAAAAAATGAAAAAATAAATTAAGAATTAAGAATTAGGTAAGTTTTGTGTAACAGAGTTTAGCTTTTACCACGCAAATGAAAAAATTTTGTTAATCTGTTTGTAGCTGTATTTATCTCAACATTTTGTAGACCTCAAATGTACCCAATAAAAGATTTTTTTAAAAGTATTTGTGAAGATTGGAAGACTATCTATGTAGGGTGCTTACAGTAATGGCACAGAGTAACATAAAGATTGAACTGTTAAAGATTGGTGACAACTTTGGGAATTAAGTTAATAGAAATTAAATTCAGAGCCCAGCCATGGTGGTATGTTCCACAGGCTGGGAACACATTGGGGACCCAGGTTTGATTTCCCATGCAACTATCCAGTGGCATGCACTGTAACCCCAGTGATTAGGGAGGCTGAGGCAAAAATGACAAACTCAACACGCGTGGGCAATACACTGTGAAATAGGGTTGTGTGGTTGCAAGTCCTTGGAAAGCTGAAGCAATAGGAACACAAGCTCAAGACTCAACCTCGGCAAACAGTGGGACCTTTTCTATAAAAGATCTAGACTGGGTCCAGCAGATGGTATAATGGTTATATCTTTGGACTCTGTTCGGCTGGTTCAAGTCATGGACCTGGTGACTTAAAACTCAGTCCAGACACATGAATGCATGCCCAAACTCCTGAGAAAAGAATGGAGAAAGGATTGTGTGGCCATTCTCCCTTGGAGGTGATTTCTTGCTTTCTGTCTTGTCTCTTCAGCAAGCACACATGCCCTATTGCACGAATCTCAAAAAACAGAGATCTGGGTTTTAGTGGTACAAGCCTACAGTCCCTGCTGTGAGACTCCAGCAAGAGGATCACAACAGCCAAAATAGCCAAATGTTTTTAAAAATTCTAATTTTAGACACCTGAACTTTTTTCTAAGTTGTAGCATTTCATTACTTTTATTGCTGTTCGCTGCCTGGAACATAAGCTCCTGAGGGTGGTGATCTGTGCTTTTCCTCATAGTCATCTCTGCCTCAGTGCCTGGCATGAAGTCCAACAAATGAAGGAATATATCTGGTGCTTTGTTGCTTCATACTCGATTCCAGTGCCAGTCCCTTCAGAGGCCATCTCAGCCTCATGGCACCTATCCTCCCTGAAATAAAGTTTACAAGTTTACCTGTCTATAGGTCAGCTTGACAAGGATGGGGACCAAATGGCAGGCACTGTTCCTGACCAGGATCTAGCAATATTTGCTTGTCACTGGAAAAATGGACAGGAGGCCACACCAAAAAAGGGTGTCTTGCTCAGATTCTCCCCAAACACACTTCATGGGTAGTCACTAAGCCAACAGCCACCACGTAGAATTTGATGAGTGTGCAAAGTGCACTCCACAGTCTCCCTGCATTCCCAGGCCTCTTATCCCCGAGTAGACATACCCACACCCCCTTCCTGGAACTGAGGAACTTCCCTCATGTGACCAGGTAAGGGGAAACCTGCAGAAAGAGGTTACTGTAGGGAACCAGCAGTTAGCGGAATGGCTACGTCTCTGGACTCCCACGTAGTCCACCGTGGTTCATGTCCTGGACTTGGTGGCTTAAAACTCACGCCAGCCACGTGTGTGTGCGTGCCCAAGATCCTGAGAGGAGAATGGAGGAGAAGGGATTGCGGCATGACCATCTTGATTTCTCGCTTTCTGTCTCTCTGTCTCTGTCTGCCTTACGAACGCACGCGCCCTATAGCAAAAAAAAAAAAAAAAAAAAAAAACCCCCAAAAAAAAAAAACCTCTCCAAAAAAAAAAAGTTACTGTAGAGAACTTCCAAGTTGACAGCCTTCACCAGATGGAACCAACTTGCCCTGCACCATCATAGACACCAGTCCTAAATGGGGTCATGCTCTTGCTGGGTTGTCCTTGGGAGGGAAAACTAGCCTTTAGCTTGGCCCTTATAGAAAGAATCTAAGAGAGGTACTAGCAGATTGCTTAATGGTTATGTCTCTGGACTTCCACATAATTGGCTGTGATTCAAGTCCTGGGCAATGTGACTTAAAACTCATGTTGGATGCATGTGTGCCCAAAATCGCAAGAGGAGATTGTAGAAGGAGTTGCAGCATGGTCATCCCCTCTGGGGAGTGATTTCTCGCCTCCTGTTTCTGTCTCTCCAGCAAGCACATGCAGCCTACAGCAGATAACTCAAAAAGGGGAAAAAAATATGAGAGATGCGGCCAGCAGGTGTCATGGTGGTTTAGACACTGGACTCCCACATGTTGACCACAGTTTGTGTCCTTAACCTGGTAGCTTGCTATCTCACTTTCCCTCTCTTTGGTCAAATTTAAAAATAATAAAAATACTTTTAAAAAAATCTAAAAGTGTTCAGCTGATGTAGGCAGGGAATGATTAAGAAATCTGTGGTTCCACTCTTAGAAGTTGCTACGTGATTTTCCTAGGGCTGATGTCAAAAATTTTCACAGACTGTGGCTGAAAGGTACTTTCTTACAGTTTTGGAGGTCAAAAGTCCAAAATTAAGGTGAAACTATATTCCCTCAAAAGGCTTAGTAGGAGAGGATCTGAATTTTTTTAATTATTATTTTTTAATAATTATTTCTTATTTCATTTATTCATTTATTTTTTAAGTTGACCAGAGGGAGACAGAGTGAGAGGGAGAGAGGAAGTGAGAAAGCAAGCCAACAGATTCAGAACCCTGGTTAGCTATGTGGGAGTGTCCAGCGCCTTAACCACCATGCCACCCTCTGGTCCCCATTTTTTAATTATGACTTTAAAGAATTATTAACTTTAGTATTTATTTTAATTCAGCCATAAAGGGACAGAATGAGAGAGGGAGAGTGAGAAACCAAACTGCCAGATCCGTGACTCAAACTGCAGTCGGCCATGTGGGAGTCCAGTGCTCTCAACTGCCAATGCCACCTGTAGGCCCTGAGGGTCTAAATTGTAAGTGAATTTTTTTTTCCCTATGAAAAATGCTCCTGAAGAGCAGAAAGCCCTATTTTACTCATTTTTTTTTTTCTGAAGCAGTGTCTGGCATTTAGTAGATATTTACCGAGTCTTTGACAGATGACAGCACACTTACCAAATGTAAAGAAAGTGAAGATGATGTTGCCAACCAAGTTGATCAGGAGAGGTTGTCTGCAATATCGAGAAGATCTGGGCCTAAAAATTTAAAAAATAAAAACAACTGGGATACACTTAAACTACAAGAAATAGACAATGCACAATACCAAAAGGCACTACTAGCCCTTATACA